TCGGGTTTCGGCCCTACACACTTACGATCTAGTTTACTTTTGGAATCATTGAAATCCCTTCGCACGGCATGGGTTGAAAAGCGAGCCGTGTGAACTCGGAGGGTGAAAGACTGAGTTTTTATTTATAGACTCAAACCCATAGGCTAAATCATGATTTCAAACCAGATGATATCGTTTTCGCCCAGCTTTGCACTTTACAGTTGACAAAGAAAGGCTATTGAACATCAAAATTTTGTTGTGAATAATATGTCTCTCATGCACGTCACTGCTGTTAGCCTTATTTGAGTGTTTTATGCGTCAGTAAGTATTGCAATGTAATCTTTTGAGGTTTTATGCATCAGTAAGTATTGCAATGTAATCAGATGATTAGAAAGTGAAAATGCAAGGCGAGCCACTCAGAACAAAACACAATATAAATCACTTAACTTTTTTCAGCAGCGTGTTTCTTTTGACAGTAAGTTTAACCAATTAAAAATAGTTATTGCTCTTCATAACATCAACAAATATTTAGCAAGATAAGGAAATAAAACTGTGAGTTTCTTGTTCTGACTCGAAAAAATTAAAGGAATCTTCCATTTTTTATAGGTTGTACCACGTGCGCCAGTCTATCGCGTCCTATTATATGGTCATGTTAAAATACTTTTTGACCGAGTTTGACTTGGCCGAATTTTTTTTCTGCTTGTTTCTTTTTCCTCTTTTTGTTTCCTCTCGTTTGTTTGTTTTGATTTTGTTTGGCTTTATTAAAGTAACACTGAACGTATAGCGATGTATATACAGAAAGTGTCACCCCTTCCAAATGGATATCACTGGCAAAATAAATTTCAGGACGACAGATAAATATTCTCAAAGCTACATGTACACCAGGTGTTCTTTCCACATCTTCTGCCCCTAATCTCCTGGTTCACTTTTTCTCGCCGATAATAAAGAACAATTTAACGAACTTTGAAGTGCCATGCACGATGACCTGTCTCAATTTTAAAAATTATTGTGATAAGAGTTTGAGATCCCTTTAATTAGCAATTAACGAGGAGTTAAGGAATGTGAGCAAGTGGCTGATAGTAAATAAGTTATCTCTTAACGTCAAAAATCTAATTATGTTATGTTCAGACCGTACCAAAAGCGTGTTGATTATGAAATGAACATAAACATCTTTGATTATAGCACCAATTCCCTTGTCACTCTGGAACCGAAAGACTACATAAAATACGTATAAATTAAAGGACTATTGCATAGACAGCTACTGAACATTTTGATGCGAGAGGATACTTATATTGATGTCCATACTTTCATTGATAAATTTAGAAAATTATAATCTTTTTTAGTTTTTGTAATACCTAATTGGCTTATCTATATCTTATCGTGCTGTTTTTCATTGTTCGTGTATATGCATGCTCCTAGTCATTTCCTCTGTTCAATTAAACTTGTTAATAAAGAATATATTTTAATGTTTGTCGCCCTCCCGCCTCGATTAGCTTCGCTATTTTGCGGGTAGAGATTGTTAGATATGTCTTTTAATTGCTAAAATAAGAAAATTTGTCTGTTTTGTTTGTGCGTAAACACAAGGTCCGATTACTGGCAACTGAACTAATCTTGAAAAGTTCATATGCCCGAAGGCTGCTCGTTGCATTTGACGCCTCGAGTGGATCGACGCATGAACGTTTAACTGATTGATTTTCGAAACAGGAATAAATCCTTGGGTAACATATTAGCGGGCTATATCAAACAAGGCCAACTGGGTAAAAGTTTCCTAGCCTCGTCTCTCTTGCGTTTAAGATTTCAATTAATACCTAATTGGCTTATCTATATCTAATCGTACTGTTTTTTATTGTTCGACTACAGACATACTCTCCTAGTCATTTTATCTATTCAGTAAAACTTGTCTTTGAAGAATTTATTTTTAATGTTTTTTTCCCTTCCGCCTCAATAAGCTTCGTTATTTTGCCGGTAGGGATTGTTAGATATGTACTTAAATTGCTAAAATAAACAAAAAATTGTATGTGCGCAAACACAAGGATCCGATTACTGGCAATTGAACTAATCTTGAAAAGTTTAATGTGGGCTGCCCGTTCATTTGATTCTTCCAAATGATCGACGCATGAACGTTTGGCTGATTGATTTTCAGGACAGGAATAGACCCGTTATAACATATTAGAAGGCTATATCAAACAAGGCTATCTGAGTAAAAGCTTCATCACTGCGTCTCTCCTGCGTTTAAGATTATTTTCAACTGAAGTAACTCAGAGTGGTTTCTCGACATTCATTCAAAGCAGAGTCGCGAGCACTTTGCATTCCGTTATTTTCGGAATGGTTTCTACTTACATGTACAACTGGCCGTTTATACTCCTGGCGCTTCCGTCGCTTTTTATCTCAATCAGTTGCGGTCATGGTAAGTAGTAAGCCTAAAAAACAAGCCGAGGCACTCTTTCAAGGAAGCTAAAATAGGACAACGAAGTAAAAATTCAAAAGTGAAACACAATCATTCCGAAAAAAAAGGTTTCTCAACGGTCGGATTAGATAATCGCAGATATATATTCTTTTACAGCCTGCGTTTGTTTTTCGAATTGAAATCTGACCGAAGTCCTTTTTTCCTCGAGGGGATTCATCCAAGTAAAGTAGGTTTAGATGAAAATCAATCAGATTAACATTTTTTCTCGGAGTGAGCTTGGTTGTATTACTCAGTTTGGCCGATTGCATATCGATTTAGGCTTTAGGCTTTGAGTACTAGGAGCGAAGACTCACGCCGAGAATGGTAGCAAATATTGATAGCTAAAATGAAACAAACCTTAGAAACCATGCCAGATAGTGCTGGATCAGGCTTACTGTAATTTGCGAAACGAAACGAAATGAAAATCTGTAATTTGCAAAATGGAAATAATTAAGCTAATGATTTGCAAAATAGAAAGCGCAAATTAGAGATTTCTATTTTGCAAATCATTAGTATATCTCCATTTCGCAAATTGCAGATTTGTATTTTGCAAATCATTAGCATATTTCCATTTCGCAAATTACAGACTTCTAGAAATCGTTGTCGATGAATAATTCGAATGCGTGCCAGCACACTTACCTGACCGCAAATGCACATGGAAAATGTCGCAGTGTGTTTCTAGATGAAATATCGTGTTTGCGAAGAAAATGTAATTTCGCAAAGTTCACCACGCAGATTTTTCAAATCAGTAGCATATTTCCATTTTGCAAATTACAGATTTCTGTAATTTGCGAAATGGAAATATGCTAATGATGTGCAAAATAGAAATCTGTCATTTGCGAAATGGAAATATGCGAATGATGTGCAAAATAGAAATCTGTCATTTGCGAAATGGAAATATGCCAATGATTTTTTCTCGGAATGAGCCCGGTTGTAATACTCGGTTTGGCCGATTGCTTATCGATTTCGAAAGATCAACCCGATGTATGTTCGTGGAGGCAATGTGTGCAAGGGGCTCGAGCGAAATGGTGGCAAATATCGATAACTTAAATGAAACAAACTTTAGCAATCCATGCCAGCTAGTACTGGATCATACAAAGATGTAAGTGAGTTAGTTGTTGAGGTAATGAAAATATCTGGAATCGCTGAATGTCGAAGCCGCAATTAGGAAAGGTGTTTGCGTGGGTAATGTAATTTAAACTGTACGTTTACTCTCCGTTTTTTGTTATTTACGGTATTGCCAAACGCGTTATGTGTCTGATTTGAAACCTTATGAGCGTCCGAGTGTTACAGGCACTGTGCGTTCGGAATTATACTAAGGCGTCCAATTATCCAATCGATCAAAAAAAGAGAGAAAAAAGATTATAATGATAATAATGAAAATATCAAATCGAAATGTTGTTTTTAGGTGGCATGTACACATAAAATTGACTTTGTGGCTGTAAATTGTGGAAAGATCGTATTTTTCTTGACTTTTGGATGTGTACTGAACCTGTCATAACAAGTCATGATGTGCTTTAGAATGAAAGTGAATGACAACCAAACTTTAATTTAATGCATGTACTGTAGTTTTTGATCTGTCCTAGTCAGACATGTCACTGAGCTCAACAATAGAGAACAGTAGAAAAAAAAACCTGCAGTTTTAGTTGAAAAATAATTTGCCCAAGCAATGTTCTATATCCAAGTAATAATGATTATAAATATGGATGTTACAAATAGAAGTTACATATTAAACATTTTGAGAGTTTAAGGGTTAACATTACATGTACAGATGGTACAATTAAACTTTAATGCTGTCTGCTACATATAATTATGGTTAATACAGTTTTCAACATGTTGATCTGGAAAGTAACCTGATCTACAATTGGAATTGATGATGTTTGGTGCTCAGAAAATGGTCAGGACTAAAGGTATACTGCAGACTGCAGATAGATCAAACAAGTTTTCAAAATAATGAAAGCATTCAAGATTATTATTAATAACATCAGTTTGCTTGAGAAGGAAAATTTGCACTTTAAATCACCTATTTGAACTGATTCATAAACACGAAACAATGGGCTAATGTTTGAGAAGAAATTTCTTTTACATTTTCCATTGCAGTCTAGTTAAAAATTATTCTTACAAACTAAGCATACCATTTTAAATTTAAAGATGCCAAAGGCACTATTAATCAATGAAATCAATGATTGTTTATTTTTGATGTAATCTTGCAGAAAAGGAGAAAACCCACAACACAGCTTGATATGCATGCTTAATAAATTGTTGTAAACAAATTTACCCTTGCCACTGAAGTCAAGAAATACAATTCTATTAAAGCAGCAACTGCAGGGCTATGAATAATTTTATTCCTCTTAAGGCCTATTTACACGGCACGACTTTGTCGCATGCGACAAGCTTACGACAGGCCTACGACATGACTTAAGAGTCGTAAGCGAGTTGTAGGTTTGATTTACACGAAACAATTCGTGTCGTAAGCCTGTCGTAAGCTTGTCGCATGCGACAAAGTCGTACCGTGTAAATAGGCCCTTACATTCCCAACAATATGTGTTTATTCATTTATTTTTGTCATGTAAAGAATGTTCAAGTACTCTTGGTATGGAGAATGGCCGCATCAAAGATGCTCAAATCACTGCATCTTCACAGTGGGATGGAAATCATGCAGCAATCCAGGGAAGATTGAACTTCAAGGCTGGTGGAGGCAAGCAAGGAGGATGGTCAGCTGGGAAGAATAATGGAAATCAATGGATACAGGTGGCTCTTGGCAGTTACACCAAATTAACAAGTATAGCAACACAGGGAAGGAATGCTCACAGCCAGTGGGTAACGGCATACAAGCTGCAGTACAGTGAAGATGGAGTGAAATTTTACTACTATAAAGTATCAGGACAGAGTTCACCTAAGGTATGTCTACTGCCATGTGTCACCTACTGAATGATTTTCAGGTGTATCCTTTTGGTATGTGTAGAAAATGAACCTTTAAATGAAGGAAAATCTGTTGAAGTTCATGTCGTTTCCTTTGAAAATGGCTTGGGTCACAAGGAGAATATTAAATAGGCTGTCTTTTCATAAATAATACTGGATGCAGTCTTGTATAACATTCTTGAGGGTGCTTCGTTTACAGACTTTATTTCATCTAGTTTAAAATTACTGATGATCCTTGTAATCTGATTGGCTCTCATTGGTGCAATTAATTCATGTGCTTTAAATCACATATTTTCCCTGCTAATAAGGAAGCCTTACCAAGACACAACAACCAATCAGATTTCAAGACTTGTTTACAAAGAAAGCAATCAAATTGCAAGAAAATGAAAAACAACTTTTGTAACCTTCTACAAACCAGCTCACTACTAGATCAATAAAAATATTTGTAGACAAAAATCCTTATCTGAGGGACTAAATTTGCAATTTCAAACTGGACTAGGTAATTAAGGGGTAATTGAACTTCATGTTGTGCAATTTTTGTCCGATTTCAAATCATGCACATGATTTCAGACCTAATTTTTTCAAAGACCACAAATTGCACTCACCCTACGGGCTCGTGCAATTTTGTTAGTCTTTAAAAAAATTCACTTGTGCTTATTTATTCCAAATTGCACTTGAAATCATGTGATTACCGAGACAAATTGCACAACACAGAGTTCAATTATCATTATTTTTTAGGCAACTTATAACTGATAATTACTTTCACAACTAAAATTATATTTTGTCACAGTTAAATCATTATTACATGAATTGAATAATATTTTGGCATCAAAGTGATGCCAAAAATGTTGGCATGTAGGTGATTGTGCTGTCTATTCCTAAGCATGAAGAAAAAAGGAAACTCGAAGGAGGAAAGCCTCTTAAATCATGAAACAAATTACCATTTATCTTGTTGTGTGATAGACCAAAAAAAGAAAGAACTTTTTTTTTGATGGCCTTATGATTGTTAGATGAATGATGGCAATAAAGTTCCCTTATATGCTATTTTTCTGACCTCTAAATTCATACAATCCAGAGTTGATTTTAATTAGTGACTATCACTCAGAATTGTTTGTCTATTCTCTAGCGAGTTTACAATGTAACCTCAGATTAGTGCTGAGTGTGCTTTATTATGTCATTGCAGGCCAAAAATTCAGCTGGCCATCACTGCTTTTTCATCCAGTGAACTTTACAAGCAGCTTGCACTTAGCAATAACCTTTTGATTGATTATCTTTTCTTTGGTGTTTTTCTCTCCTTCAAAGTCCCACATGACACCCCAACCTTCTGGCTAATGGATTGCAAGTAACCATGACTGGGTATTAATGAAAGACCCAGTGCTTTAACTATATCATCCTTCAAATAATTATTACTAGTGTGCACTCAGTGGTTTAAATCTCCAGAAGATAGAAAGGGAATTTTTTTGCTCTCCTTGTGTTGGAAAAGTCTTTAACCTTTAAACCCCTAAGAGTGACTGGCATCTAATTTCTCCTTACAATATCAGTTCTGGATCACACACTAAGGTCATGGGAATAAAAGAAATGATCGCCAAGTAAACTAGCTTGTGATTGTTAGACAAATTCTCCTTGTCAGAACCTTAGGAAAAGTATAGCAAACAGTATGGAGAATATGCATACTGATTTGTTAGGACGTTAATTAGGGATTAAATTAATATATCTTAATAACTATATATCTATATATATATATATATTTGCTTTGTTTAAGCAACACTCAATTAGACAGAATACCTTAGGTGAACAGAGTTCACGTAAGGTGAATGTAGAGGCAGTTACTTGGTGTAAAACTGTTAAAAACATATCCTTATATCTGCGCAGTATAGAGGTGACAGTTATAATATGTTGCAAGTATTTCTTAATTAACAGGTAATTTACCCCTTTATTCATTTCTTAATTAAGTCATCTGCAAATACCAAGGGGCTAAGCCTCTGATCATGCATTCTACTATGGAAAAAGTTAATTATGCCACATATCTAGCCTGACATTCAAAATTGGAGTTCCTTGACTTTCTCTTGCACATTTACAACAAGTGCAATCAACATGTTACAATTTTAAATGTAAGTTGAAACTGACATTAAATATGACATGACTGTGGTAACTGATTATTAATTTTACTTGAATGTATTTGTAGGTATTCAAAGGAAATAAAGACAGAGACAGCATTGTTTATCACCAGTTAAACCCACCCATCAAAGCTCGCTACATCAAACTTCGACCAACAGCATGGTATGGTCATATATCACTAAGGATGGAGCTGTATGGTTGCTCAACAGGTATGATTAAACATTGTCTTACATGAACTTATTTGGCACTTAAAAATGGAAGGTTGAAACACATGTTTTGATTATAACCAGTATAATGCTGAAATATGGATATGGCAAGAATCTCTAAATTGTTAGATACTACGTTATGACATACAAAAAAAATTTCTGCTTGATCCAAATTTTGTGTTACTTTTAAATTTTCAATAGAACTGTATGTACCTACCCTCAAACATACCTACATACCTCAGTACATAAACACATACACATAAACTGTTCTTTTACCTTCTTTATTTCTGTAAAGAATGTTCAGCACCTCTTGGTTTGGAGAGTGGACTCATTAAAGATGCTCAGGTCACTGCATCTTCAGAATGGGATAGAAATCATGCAGCAATCCAGGGAAGATTGAACTTCAAGGCTGGTGGAGGCAAGCAAGGAGGATGGTCAGCTGGGAAGAATAATGGAAATCAATGGATACAGGTAGCTCTTGGCAGTTACACCAAATTAACAAGTATAGCAACACAGGGAAGGAATGCTCACAGCCAGTGGGTAACAGCATACAAGCTGCAGTACAGTGAAGATGGAGTGACCTTCTACTACTACAAAGTAATGGGACAGAGTTTACCTAAGGTAAATGTAGAAGCAGTAACTTGGTTTAACACTTTCAAAACATATCCTTATGTCTGCACAGTATAGACTGAGGTAACAGTTATAATATGTTACAAGTATTTCTTAATTAAGTCATCTGCAAATACATAGGGGCGAAGCCCCTGATCATGCATTCTACTATGGAAAAAATTAATTATGCCACATATCTAGCCTTTGACTTTCTCTTGCATATTTACAGCTAGTGCAATCAACATGTTATAATTTTTAATGTAAGTTTAAACTACCTTTAAAATGGCATGACTGTGGTAACTGATTATTAATTTTACTTGCATGTATTTGTAGGTATTCAAAGGAAATAAAGACAGAGACAGCATTGTTTATCACCAGTTAAACCCACCTATCAAAGCTCGCTATATTAAACTTCGACCAACAGCATGGTACGGTCATATATCACTAAGGATGGAGCTGTATGGTTGCTCAGCAGGTATGATTGTTGTCTTACATGAACTTATTTGGCACTGAAAAACGGAAGGGTGAAACATATGTTTTGATTATAACCAGTATAATGCTGAATTTGATATGGCAAGAATCTCTAGATTGTTAGATACTACGTTATGACATACAAAGAAAATTTCTGCTTAATCCAAATTTTGTGTTACTTTTAAATTTTCAATAGAACTGTATGTACCTACCCTCAAACATACCTACATACCTCAGTACATAAATACATACACATAAACTGTTCTTTTACCTTCTTTATTTCTGTAAAGAATGTTCGGCACCTCTTGGCTTGGAGAGTGGACGCATTAAAGATGCTCAGGTCACTGCATCTTCAGAATGGGATAGAAATCATGCAGCAATCCAGGGAAGATTGAACTTCAAGGCTGGTGGAGGCAAGCAAGGAGGATGGTCAGCAGGGAAGAATAACAGAAATCAATGGATACAGGTGGCTCTTGGCAGTTACACCAAATTAACAAGTATAGCAACACAGGGAAGGAATGCTCACAGCCAGTGGGTAACAGCATACAAACTGCAGTACAGTGAAGATGGAGTGACCTTCTACTACTACAAAGTACTGGGACAGAGTTCACCTAAGGTAAATGTAGAAGCAGTTACTGTGTTTAAAAACATATCCTTATGTCTGCACAGTATAGACTGAGGTAACAGTTATAATATGTTGCAAGTATTTCTTAATTAAGGCATCTGCAAATACCAAGGGGCTAAGCCCCTAATCATGCATTCTACTATGGAAAAAATTAATTATACCACATATCTAGCCTTTGACTTTCTCTTGCATATTTACAACAAGTGCAATCAACCTGTTACAATTCTAAATGTAAGTTGAAACTGACATAAACAATAACATGACTGTGGTAACTGATTATTAATTTTACTTGCATGTATTTGTAGGTATTCAAAGGAAATAAAGACAGAGACAGCATTGTTTATCACCAGTTAAACCCACCCATTAAAGCTCGCTACATCAAACTTCGACCAACAGCATGGTATGGTCATATATCACTAAGAATGGAGCTGTATGGTTGCTCAGCAGGTATGATTGTTCTCTTACATGAACTTATTTGGCACTTAAAAATGGAAGGGTGAAACATGATTGTTTTGATTATAACTAGTATAATGCTGAAACATGGATATGGCAAGAATCTCTAGATTGTTAGATGCTACATTATGACATACATAGAAAATTTCTGCTTGATCCAAATTTTGTGTAACTTTTAAATTTTCAATAGAACTATATGTACCTACCCTCAAACATACCTACATACCTCAGTACATAAACACATACAAATAAACTGTTTTTTTTCCTTCTTTATTTCTGTAAAGAATGTTCAGCACCTCTTGGTTTGGAAAGTGGACGCATTAAAGACTCTCAACTCACTGCATCTTCAGAGTGGGATAGAAATCATGCAGCAATCCAGGGAAGATTGAACTTCAAGGCTGGTGGAGGCAAGCAAGGAGGATGGTCAGCTGGGAAGAATAATGGAAATCAATGGATACAGGTGGCTCTTGGCAGTTACACTAAATTAAAAAGTATAGCAACACAGGGAAGGAATGCTCACAGCCAGTGGGTAACAGCATACAAGCTACAGTACAGTGAAGATGGAGTGAAGTTTTACTACTATAAAGTACCAGGACAGAGTTCACCTAAGGTAAATGTAGAAGCAGTTACTTGGTTTAAAACTGTTAAAAAACATATCTTTATGTCTGCACAGTATAGACTGAGGTAACAGTTATAATATGTTGCAAGTATTTCATAATTAAGTCATCTGCAAATACCAAGGAGCTAAGCCCCTGATCATGCATTCTACTATGGAAAAAGTTAATTATGCCACATATCTAGCCTGGTATTCAAAATTGAAGTTTCTTGATTTTCTCTTGCATATTTACAGCTAGTGCAATCAACATGTTATAATTTTAAATGTAAGTTTAAACTACCTTTTAAAATGGCATGACTGTGGTAACTGATTATTAATTTTACTTGCATGTATTTGTAGGTATTCAAAGGAAATAAAGACAGAGACAGCATTGTTTATCACCAGTTAAACCCACCCATCAAAGCTCGCTACATTAAACTTCGACCAACAGCATGGTATGGTCATATATCACTAAGGATGGAGCTGTATGGTTGCTCAGCAGGTATGATTGTTGTCTTACATGAACTTATTTGGCACTGAAAAATGGATGGATGAAACACATGTTTTGATTATAACCAGTATAATGCTGAAATGGATATAACAAGAAACTGTAGATTGTTAGATACTACATAATGAGGTGTGTAGAACATTTCTGCTTGATCCAAATTTTGTGTAATTTTTTAATTTTTACTAGAACTGTATGTACCTACCCTCAAACATACCTACATACCTCAGTACATAAACACATACACATAAACTGTTCTTTTACCTTCTTTATTTCTGTAAAGAATGTTCGGCACCTCTTGGTTTGGAGAGTGGACGCATTAAAGATGCTCAGGTCACTGCATCTTCAGAATGGGATAGAAATCATGCAGCAATCCAGGGAAGATTGAACTTCAAGGCTGGTGGAGGCAAGCAAGGAGGATGGTCAGCTGGGAAGAATAATGGAAATCAATGGATACAGGTGGCTCTTGGCAGTTACACCAAATTAACAAGTATAGCAACACAGGGAAGGAATGCTCACAGCCAGTGGGTAACAGCATACAAACTGCAGTACAGTGAAGATGGAGTGACCTTCTACTACTACAAAGTACCGGGACAGAGTTCACCTAAGGTAAATGTAGAAGCAGTTATTTGGTTTAAAACTGTTAAAAACATATCCTTATGTCTGCTCAGTATAGAGGTAACAGTTATAATATGTTGCAAGTATTTCTTAATTAAGTCATCTGCAAATACCAAGGGGCTAAGCCCCTGATCATGCATTCTACTATGGAAAAAGTTAATTATGCCACATATCTAGCCTGGCATTCAAAATTGGAGTTTCTCGACTTTCTCTTGCATATTTACAGCTAGTGCAATCAACATGTTATAATTTTAAATGTAAGTTTAAACTACCTTTTTAAAATGGCATGACTGTGGTAACTGATTATTAATTTTACTTGAATGTATTTGTAGGTATTCAAAGGAAATAAAGACAGAGACAGCATTGTTTATCACCAGTTAAACCCACCCATCAAAGCTCACTACATCAAAATATCTAGCCTGGCATTCAAAATTGAAGTTTTTTTGATTTTCTCTTGCATATTTACAGCTAGTGCAATCAACATGTAATAATTTTAAATGTATAATGACCCCTTTTATTTAAAATAAATAACAATCCCCACACCAGGGTAGTCCCATCAGAAAGTACAGCTCTGCTATTAAGAGGAGCCCTTGTGAATAGGATCATAAAATAAATCAAATGCATAATGCTAAAATCAATATAAATAATACTACCAATAATAATAACAGCGGCAAGACTAATAATTTATGTGCTATCTAAATATCAAACAATACTATAAAAATCTATATATTTAGAATGGTATAAAAATCTATAAATACACACAAAACAATAAGAATCTAGTCAATATAAAATATTATAAAAAATTCTAATTAACTTGAATATTATAAACAACTCGTCTATGATAATAAAAAGATTTCTTGGCTGTTTCAGTTCTAACGCGAGGCAAATGAAGTAAATTTCTCTGTCTTGTTCTGGTATTATTAAAATTGAAATATTGCTTAAAAAATTGAGGACAGTTACCAGAAATGCATTTATTAACTAATTTAAAAGTATGTTCGTCTCTTCTCGACTGTAACTCAGGCCATTTAAGATCCATTAAAGCTTTGTCACTATCCATAGATATTGAAACAATTTTGGATGCCCTTCTTTGAAAATTATCCAGCAGTCTGGCATTGCCCACTCCACAACAGTTCCATACAGTGTCGCCATAGTCAAAAATTGGACAGATAAATGATAGATATAAATTGTTGGCAGCATGACAAGTTAAATCTCTTCATAATAGAGATAGCATACCTAATCTTTTCTTAGCTTTAGATAAAATGTGCTGAATGTGGGGAGCCCAAGAAATAGTCTCATCAAATATAATACCAAGATAAGTGAATATGTTTACCCGTTTTAAACTTTGTCCATGAAAAGTAATATCAAAGTCTTAATGTTTGGACAGTTTAGAATGAATTCCAAATAGCATGGCTTCATTCTTGGTGGTATTTAGAAACAAGCTGTTCACTTGAAGCCATTCACCCATTGTATTCAGGCCCTCATTCAGACTGTCTTCGATGACTTTAGAGTTATATCCAGCACAAAACAGAACGTATCATCTGCGTACATAAGCATATTACAAATCTTAATGCAGAGGGGCAAATCGTTGATAAGAATAACAAAGAGTAGAGAGTCTAATATGGAACATTGTGGAACACCAGATGTTATGTGTTGAGAATCAGACGAGGCACCACCAATGCCAACAACTTGGGTGCGGCCAGACAGATAGTTTTCAAACCAGTTTCGCTCTTTGCCTTTGATTCCAAGAAAGTGCAGTTTTCTCAACAAAATAGAATGATCTATTGTATCAAATGCCTTAGGCAAGTCCACAAAAACTGCTCCCATCATAAAACCCTGATCAATATTTTGCTGGATTGTGTCCGCGAAGGACAGAGCTGCAAATGTTGTTGAGTGTTGTTTGCAAAATCCACATTGGAATGGGCTAAGTAGACGGTTTTCTTGTAAATAACTTACTAGTTGAGTATGCACCACTCATTCAAGTAACTCTGATATTGCAGGTAAGATAGATATGGGGTGATAATTGTCAACATTGTCTTTCCTCCCTTTCTTAAATAATGGAATAACATAAGCAGCTTTCCAGTCGTCTGGAACTTTGCTCTGAGACAGTGAAGCATTAATTATTGCTGTAATAGGTTTAGTGACTATTGCAGAAGCGTCCTTTAGAAGTCTTGGTGGAATATTATCTAAGCCCACAGCTTTGCCTGATTTAAGTGGTCGGATTTCAGACAGAACAGTAGATTGAGAAATATTTGTAAACAGAAAAGTAGAGTTCGTAGCTTTTGTTAAAGATATACTTGACGAGAGGTTCGATGCAGCATTTATAAATGATTTGCAAAGGTTGATAGCTGTATTTACAAAGACATTGTTGAAAGAATTTGCAATTGAGCTTTTTTCAGTTATTACTTGACCATCAACTTTTGAGTTTTGGTGATGGTTCTTTGCTTTCGGAGAGCAGGATTTTCTTAACTGTTCACCAGAATGAGTTGGGATCGCCAGCATTCTCGTTGATCAGCCTTCGATTGTAGTTTTCCTTTTCCTTTCTGATTAAATTGGTAACTCAATTTCTTTGTAAGTGGTATCTTTTCAGTCTGAGGGAAGTCCGGTGGTGTGAGCTTTTTCTGTAAATAATCCCTTTGTCTCATTTGACGTTTGATAGAAGTATTGAGCCAAGGAAATAATTGTTTAAGCCCCTAACGCGTTTTACAATAGTGGGGTGTGACGTTCTGCTATGTTGGTAAACTTATCTTTGAAGGACTGCCAAAGCTCATTAACGTCCTTATTGTTAACGTTTTCACTTGGGAGATCGAAGTCTGTGTTTTTCAAGTCCTCAAGGAATTTATCTGGGTCGTAATTTGCATAATTTCGAAATGTTTTAAGTTGTTATGGAGTCTTTTTCCAATTTATCTTTCTGACACAGAAAGACATTTCATGATCGCTTAAGCTAGTACCGGTGACGACCCCAGAGTCTTTAATGTTTTGTGGATGGTTTGTAGCAATCAGATCAATCATAGTTCTAGATTCTGCAGTGACTCTTGTAGGCTCCTTGATTATTTGAGTAAACTGCAACAATTTAAATAAAGATTTAAGTTGGTTACATTCTGGGATAGTTGAGCATTTTGATGCAAAGTCGGTGTTCCAATCTCCAAGTAAAAGCACTTCTTGACCCTTTGAGACAGCAGTGTTCAGAGTGTTATTCATTTTTGAACAGAAACCTTTATCATAGTGGTTAGATGAGTTTGGAGGTCGGTATAAACAACTGGTTAGTAAACTACGCGACTTTGGAAGGGAAACTTCAAGCCAAAGGCCTTCTATGTCGGGCCTTTCAAGGTCTTCTCTTCTGTCAACCATAACATCATTGCGAACATATTGCTACGCCTCCACCTTTCCCCTGTCTGTCCTTTCTAAACAGTTTATAACCAGGAATTGATAATTCATTGTCAGGAATTGAGTGCTTTCACCAAGTTTCAGTCAGCCCAAAGATGTGAATACTAGATTTGAGTTTGCTTAACAGAAGGCGTAGTTGGTCGATTTTCCATGGTAGACTTTGAATGTTCTGATGTATCAATTTCAAGCCAAGATTATTGACGATTTCTTGAAGTTTTAAAGGAAGATCAATCTCATTTTCACTAAGATCATCGAGTGACATGTTGTTAGAGCTGTACATATGACAGTAGCCCAAATAGTCAAAATCAAGACCAAGACACATTAGATGAAAATCCTTCTTTCATGAAGTGCAGGGAAGATGAGCATAGTCCGTTTTGATAATTTTGAGACAGAGAGGACACTTTGCTGTATCGCTAACTGCAATAGGGCCAGGATTAAGCTCCACATCACCACAGAGAACAATGCAACCGGTGGCACAAGCATACGTGGTGAAATGTATTAGTCGAAGCAGCTTCATATATGCGTTAGGTCGAGCGATTGAACGACGTATCTTGTTATTAGAAACATATTTAGGTGGCCGTGTAAGCTCTTCAGACGAAGAAAATATACTAAGTTGACTAATAAATGCAAGTTGAAACTGACATTAAAAATGACATGACTGTGGTAACTGATTATTAATTTTACTTGCATGTATTTGTAGGTATTCAAAGGAAATAAAGACAGAGACAGCATTGTTTATCACCAGTTAAACCCACCCATCAAAGCTCGCTACATCAAACTTCGACCAACAGCATGGTACGGTCATATATCACTAAGGATGGAGCTGTATGGTTGCTCAGCAGGTAAGATAATTGTCTTCCATGAACTTATTTGGCACTGAAAAATGGAAGGGTGAAACACATGTTTTGGTTATAGCTAGTATAATGCTGAAATATGAATATGGCAAGAAACTGTAGATTGTTAGATACTACATTATGACATACAAAAAAAATTTCCCTTGATCCAAATTTTGTGTAACTTCTAAATTTTCAATCGAACTGTATGTAC